AAGTCCCGAGAACCCTGATCCACTGCAGCCCAGAGACTGAGGCCTGCGCAGGGCTGTCCTAGAGGCTGTGCCTGGAGGGCTGCTTGGTTTCCTCCCCGAAGACCATGAGTGGCAGCAGCTGGGGGGGAGGGGGGGCACCCGTGCAGCGGGAGGGGCCTTCTCACAGGACCTGGAGTGTCAGCCGAGTGACCTGCAGCCAGGGATTGTGACCTCCACCTCCTCCTTGACTCTAATCCCAGACGCCTCAGGATGCCTGTGTGTGTGTGTGTGTGTATGGGGGGGTGCTCCTCTCCTGCCTGTGCATGTGCCCCACACACAGAGGCAGGGCTCTGCTCCCCACGCCACATCCCACACTCAAACCTTAGGTTTCTGCCTTTTTTTTTTTTTTTAAAGAAAAGCTTTTCTTTTGAGCCCATTTCCAAGGGGCCATGACCTTCCAGCCTCAGCCTCAGGCTATCTACCTCCTCTCGGTCTGTCATTATCATCTGTTCCTATCGTGTGCTATCCGCCATCTACACTGCAGCTGGCTCACTGCCACCCGTGTCCTGCCACCATCCAGGTGACCCCAAATCCATGTGGAGAAGCCACTTGTCATTCTGGCCTTCCAGCTCCTGAACCATAAAACCTTCTCATGATTCAGCAACACCCTCACCGCGACTCCTCCACCCTCTTTCACACAAAACTTGTCTTTAACAACCGTCTGTATCTGTTTCCTCGTTTTGTCCCCTCGCCTGCGCTGTATTCCGCTGCTGCCTCCTCGATGCTGCTCATAGCAGGGCCCCACACCCCCCTGGTTTGCAGGGGTTCTGGCCCTGCACCTCTTGGAACCTGCGTGTGCGTTGCCTTCTGCTGCTCCTCCTTCGGCCTCCCTGCTCAGCGGCCACATCCATCCGGCCCAGCACTTTCTCCTCCTGCCCCGTCCATGTGAACCTACGTTCCTGAGGGTCCTGCCCTCCCCTTCCCTCCCGGCCTGCTCTCCCACCGCCCCCCAGGGGAACCTGCTCTCCCACCGCCCTGCACGGGAAACCATGCCCTGGACGCCGAGAATCCAGGGCCACCCCCAGACTGCCGCCTCCGTGGGAGCCCCAGCACTCACCCTCCTTCCAGTCGTTCCTGCGTGTCCATATCCATCGGAGGTCCTGCAGCACCTCACCGTCCCACGTTCTACACCACATGGGCCAGACCTCCTCCTTCCCATTCCTGCTTGGTTATTCAGGCACCATCCTTCGTTAGGCTCACCCGCCTTCTCTCTGCCTCACAGGTAGCACCATGGACTGTGCACGGCCCTGGGGGTGCACTGTGTGTCCTGGCTCCACTTCCTGCCACGGTGACCCTGACCAGCCACAGAGACCCTGACCAGCCACAGCTGGTCAGGTCAGGTCAGTTTCCCAAAGAGGGGTGACAGCAGGCAGTCACAGCCAGGGATCGGCGGCTCCAATACTAGGAAGCAGGGACACCCAGTGCAGGAGAGGCAGAGGCTGTGGGAAGTGAGCCTGCGAGGCGGCGGTGGGCGACCAGGGCCCAAGCACTGGCTGCTGCTGCTGGACAGTCAGACCTGGCTCATTGGAGCGCTGTTCTGGGGGCCACTGAGGAGGAAGGGAATTTTTTTCTTAAGATACTTGTGTTTGGGAAGCACCCTCCCCAACCTAAAATCAAAAGCGAGCAGGACCCAATTTTGAATGCAGGCATGCTGCATCTAGGGCAGTGGTCGGCAAACCGCGGCTCTCGAGCCACATGCGGCTCTTTGTCCCCTTGAGTGTGACTCTTCCACAAAATACCACATGCGGGTACGCACATACAGTGCGATTGAAACTTCGTGGCCCATGTGCAGAAGTCGGTATTTTGTGGAAGAGCCACACTCAAGGG